ATCCAGGTCCTTCCGAATGGCACCCCTTCCCTCCAGCATGTTGATCACACCACAGAAGGAGGCTAAAACTCCAAAACAACCTGGCTCAGGTAACCAGATCTCAACCAAGCCTAAGGCTAAGCCATGCCAAACAACTGCACCCGAGTACGGAACAAAACAAAAGTGTTGCTGACGTGGTTCACGGCCACCGCTGTTCCCCCTTCTCCATCCACACACCGGGAGGGACACACGCAAGGTGCTCTTCGGCATTTGCAAACCTGGAGTTTGCCAGGCTCTTTAGCGAGTTCAACCATGGATAAATAGGAAAATCCCTCCCCGTGTAAAGGAGCATGAACTGTGCCGGCTACTAACACTGCTGGGGAGGCCGAGCTCAGCTGGAGCGAGGGAAGCCGGAGCCACTGCTCTCATCGTGCTTCGGGAAGAGATAGAGGCCGCTCCTCCTCAGCTGCCACTGATCCTAATGTGACATGCTGCTTGAAAATCTTGATAGAAATAGGAGTCAAAGGCAAAATACAAGCCCGCTGAGTCTATGATTATTATTTTACAGAGATGACAGATATAATTCAGAGCATAATACCATGGTAACCCTTGCAGACGGAAAAGAAGGCAGCAACAGGGATTTCTCTGGTGTGAGCCAGCAGGGAATATATTTTTAAAGAGCGTAATCCACAACTCTGTCACTGCAGAGACCTGTCTTCTTTAATCAAGGGGAAATTGCCTGAAGCACACCAATCAATTTAACTCTGCAGTGCATGGTGGGACCCAGAGGCACGAAAAGGTGCCGTAGAAATGCAAGAGAAAGTACCGTCAGACTGTCACCACAGATGGGACCTCTTGTACAGGGAAAGTAACAGATAACACCTTCTGAGGAGCCTGAAGGGTTATAAAGGGCTGAAGGGTCACCTTGCCTCTGCAACAAGTGATACAGTCCAAGGACAAAGAGTCAGGGCTGCCATTCCTGCAGACTTTCCGAAGCCTGGACTGTGATTCCAGCCTCTCCTCATGCTAAGTAATGCGACAGGAGCACAGCTCAAGCAGTTCTGAGAAACCCCCACCTGGTGAGGGGAAATACAACAGAGGAAGCCACCTGTGTCTTTGTACAGCCGCTGCAGACCAGGCGGGATATCCTGACATGTTTAAAAAACATAAGGCACCCACACTCGGGGCAGAGTGAAACTAGACCTGTGTCCCTGGCATGGGAGATGGACAGCCTCCTGCCCTCACCTGCCTTGGTTCAACCTGTAGGTCCCTGTCTCTCCTGAACTGGGGAGCCCCAAACTGGACACAGTATTCCAGGGGTGGTCTCACCAGGGCAGAGCAGAGGGGGAGCAGAACCTCCCTAGCCCTGCTGGACACACTTTTCTTAATGCCCCCCAGGATCCCACTGGCCCTCTTGGCCACAAGGGCACGTTGCTGTCCCACAGACAACTCACTGTCCATTAGGACTCCAATCCCACCTTAGATCTGCAAAGTGCCAATGTCTGGCAACAGGACAGTCACCTTGGACTCCTTTCACCTCCAGTGAATGAGGTGCTTCAGAAACACAGTTCCTCTGAGCTCTTCTCCATATTTTTGTGAGGATGAGCTGAATTTGAACTACACCAAAATGCTCATTTTTCTCTGCTGGGGAGGAGAACACAACCAGCCAGGTGAAAAGGATCCCCACTGAAGATGCTCAGATCCCCAGAGACGATTATTCCAATTACTCAGGACAAACATGAACAGTGCTTGATGAAGCCAGCCCACTGCTGCCTGTTGAGCCTTTCTACTGCTGGGAGTATGAGTTGCTTGTCTTCCCTTTGGTTTCCCCAGTACCTTTATTTGTCTAAACAAACCTCTCCAGCATTTTGCCATCATTTGGAGAGAATACCTTCTGAAGTCACCTTTGGCTGAACCTTCACACCAAGCAACGCAGCCTGACCAGCTCAGGCCAGGAGGCAATGGGTAGAAAAGGGAAACCATGTCAGCAATAAGCACCCGTCTCTGTCTGCTGAAAGGAGCTACCTCTGACTTGTTTTGGGACAGCCTTCCTCATTCTGCGCAACACTTGCATGCACCAGGTCCAAACTCATTCATTCCTCATTAGCTGCAGCAATTAAGATCCGTATCTTGAAGTGTTTCATAATGAGACAATTAGCACAGGGATCCTTGTCATGAGAGCTGTCAGGCAGTTTTGACAGAAGGAATCAAGCTGGGCTTGTAAGGCCCTACTTAAATGTTTAGGTACAGCATTAAAATCTAATATAGTATGATAATGACAGAGCCACTGGACAGATTGCAGATGGAGTCCTCGTTAAAGACCTGTGCAGCGCTGGCGGTGTCACAGTGAGCGGCAGCAAGTCCAGGGGCTGACTCCTCCACAGCTGCAACGTGCACATGGTTTGTGCCTTTAACAGGTGTCCTCCCTCGGCTGCTCGGGTAATTACCGAGTAGCTGGTAAAACAGCATCCCCAAACGCCTCTTCTATACGCAGCTATTATGCGCTTGCTGTTTGATTGTTTGTCTGGGATTAGAAGGAATGTTCAAAAGGCGTTTCACACCAACCTGCAAGCCTTACATCCACCAGTTCTCCAACTCCCCCCAGGCTACAGAAACTCAGGCAGCCCTCAGGGTTTTTTTTTCCGGAGGGGTTGTTTCCCCCTTTCTTCTTTTCTTTGTTGTTTTCTTTTTTCCCCAGATAACATCCCTTCAGGAGTCCCGGACCAGAAGGGTTAAAGTGCAAGGTGGGTGAACCACAAAGCATAAGGATCTAACTGAAGACCAGGTACCAGCCGTGTCCCTCAGGGCTGGCACCAGGCAATACTGCGTCACGTCTCCCTCCCCACTCCCAGCAGGTCTGCAGAGGATGGTGGCCAAGCAGAACTTATTGCACCAAAGAGAAGGACCTTGGCAGGCTGGAAAAAACTGCATGAAGTTAAATCCACTTTAGGGTCACCCATTACGAGGATATTGATGTACTTGAGCAAGTTCACTGCAGGCCACCAAGATGGTAAAACGGTGGAGCACAGGACACGTAAAGACTGAGAGAAATGGGTTTGTTCAGCCCAGGGAAAAGGTGAAGGGGAATCTTACTGCTTCGTATAACTATCTAATGGGGAGTTATAGAGAAGAACAACTCAATTTATTCTTTTTTGGAGGTGCATAGCAAAAATGACGAGAGGCAACAAACACAAACTGCAGCAAGGGAAATTTTGACTGAAATAAAAATATATAAATTACACCATGGAGCGTGTTTGGCAGTTGAGCAAGGGCCAGGGAGGTTATGGGAGCTCCAGCTCTGGGAACATTCAAAACTGATCTGTTCAGTCTGACCTTACTTTGAAGTTAGAACTGCTTGAGCAGCAGGTTGGACAAGAGAGTTTGAGCTGGAATTTATGAAGATATATCAAATGCAACACATGGAAATGCATTCCCAGAGTCCAGAGCTTCCTTCACATTTAATTTCAGGAAAAAAATTGTGTTCCAGCAGAGCTACACAGGAAATCAGGATATCTCAAAAACCCAATAATATTTAAGGTGAGGAAATAATGAATAGCAAAAGGTAAGGAAGAATTTCAAGAAAACTTGAACCACAATTTAAAAAAATGTTTTGAGATGCAGGAGCCAGACTTCCCATCTCCTGCAGCCATGTGATAAATGAAAAACCATCTGAGCTCCTGTCACTGCTCCTACTCTCTGGCCCAGCTTCTAGATCTGCCGGGACATTTTTTAATTTCCCACCACCTCAGCACCTTTCAGACAAACTACAGTTAAAAATAAAGCTTCCCATTGTCATGTTTCTTCTCTTTCTCTGACTTTCAACACACAGATCAACCAGAAGCCAGGATTTAATGTAACCAACATCTAACGTCAAAGGCTGCTGATGTTTGGCTGAGTATAGGTGACAGGTCTGATTCCTTCTTGGCACAAACGAGTTATTAACATTTTTTAGGTTCTGTTCCTGGCTTTTCCATTGCCTGTCATTACTTCAACTCTTGTCTGACGGACCAAACCACAAGGCACTGAAATTTCAGTACCTATTTCGTAAAAATGACGTTAACAAGGGCAATAACAAATGACAAACTGTGATTTTATAACAGATTATGGTGTTTTGAACCTCTTGATTTGGCTGCTGAGAACTTTCTCAAACTCTATTAATCAGCCTAAAATTCTGAAAGGCTCTTAGAGCAGTAACACCTGCTGCTTCAAAGCATGAGATTTCTGGGGAAAAGAAAATACCCACTGTTGGAAGAAAACAACTTTAAAGCTGAACAACTTCCTCTTGGTACAGAACTGGCTCTAGGGGTAATTATTTTAGCAACTAAGTCAGAGCAGGTTTTGATTTATTTACCAACTCTTTAAATGCCATCCTTCATGTACATACTGAGTACCTGACCACAGAGAAGCTAAGAGGACATGCCAGTACAGGCCAACGAGCTGTACTAGCTCTAGGCAGAGCAGCTGAACTAGTTGCTGCTCTCCTACCTTCAGGGCCAGCAGCCCATTAGGTATCCTCCACCACCAGTATCAGCACAATAAAATTACTTCCGTGTGCTGGAGCAGTGCCACTAATCCCCACGTTTACAAGGCTCACAATGACAAGCTCAGCTCCACCACAGTCACCAATAATTACTCAAGTAAGTGCTCAAGCCAGGAGCCCAAAGCTCCCTTCAGCTGGTCCCTTCTACTGCCAGAGGGCACCTCAATGCCCTCAAAACCCACACCACTTTCCGGAACTATCCATCACTCCCTGTTGACCATAGGAGGCTGAAAAGTAAATAAGCTTCCAACGATGTTCCTCAAAGTCATAGATATTGGCTCTGGAATCCATCCAAAACCAATCAGGAATTCAGAAATAGCCCAAGATCACCTCGTTTACTCAAGGGGACACCGAGGTCGTGTCATTGCTTGGTGGAAGACTGCATTTGGGCTCACCAAGGCTCGTTGGGCCAGAGGAACGGAAGTCTTCAGCCTCCTATGGCATCAAGACAAGCTCCAAGTAGCACAGCTACTGAACTTACTTGGAAGATATTGGAGAAGTCTCTCAGGTTGAAAACGTAGTGGAACTTGATGGCCGTTGGCAGGAAAGTGGCAGCTACTTTCTGATGCAGTCCCAGAGCAAGAGCAATCAGTTGCTGAGCTGATCTTTGCACGGCCCCTGAGAAATCCCCACTCGTCAGGTGGTGCATTAAAATGGTGCTGTAGATCCTGGACAAAGCGTCCTGGCCAGGGATGGAGAGAGCGAAGACACAGAAGTGACGCTGAGGAAGAGAAAGGAAGACATGGAAAGGTCAGAAAAATGAGCACCCACCTCTCAAGCAAAGTGCCCCTGGACTTGATGCGGTTGGACACAGTGCTAGATAGTCCCATCTAGGCTCCCTTTCACATGCAAGGTTGGACCAGATGATCTTTCTAGGTCCCTTCCAACCTGAAATGCTTCTAATATTCTGTGACTTGTAGTCCACCTGAACAAAGCTATTTCCCTCTTGCAGTTTCCCAGCAGAGGGTGGTTGGCACGTGGCATCATTCTGCTCGATAAACCAGGGATTTTTCAGCTGCATTTCACAACTGCTACACTGGAAGTTCAGTCTGTTGAAGAGCTGAAGGACTCTAGAGGTCTCACCAACCTCTGATAAAACCAATTCACTGTTTCCATTAGGAAAAAGCCCCTGGAAGGTCCCATCTCCTAGAAGACCCCTTTATTGATTTGGAACATGCAAGCACAAAGGAGATGCCCATGTACAACCACAGGACGCTTGACAGATTCCTGCCATTTTTACTGATGAAATGCCAAGCCTCGTGTTTAAATAATCCACTGAAAAATAAGCCCAGCCATGTGCCTGCCGGGGCTTTACCTGCAGGCGAGGGTTGATGGTGAAGCTCCCCGCAGTCGGGTTCATGCACGACACATACTGCACATTCGTGATCTCCTTCAGCGACAGCTTGGTCCTGTCATACCTTTGGGTGAAGCAAAAGCAGTGACCTGGTGACCACGATCTGCGAGCAACAGCCACCACTTCTCCTTTCGCGTATGTCCGTGGGCTGCCAACGTCCACTTGTCTTCAGGGGGGTCAAAGTCCAACCTGACTTTGAATGTTTCCAGGGATGGGGCACCTATCGCCTTCCTGGGCAACCTGTGCCAGTGTTCCACCACCCTCATTGTAGAAAGTGTCTTCCTTAGATCTAGTCTAAACCTACCCTCTTTTAGTTTAAAACCATTACCACTTGCCCTACCAAATCACAGGAGTGCCTCTAGTTTGAACGACACTGGGACAGGGGCAAGCACGCTGCCGGCTTGCTGAGGATGGGGGGTTCTGCTGATGGAGCCAGGGGTGCAGCCCCAGAAGCAGCCCCACCAGGTTACTCCTGGGGCTGGGGCAGCCCAAGGGTAACAGAGAGCTTTGCTCATCTCTCTTCTCAGCCTCGCCGGAGCAAGCTGCAGCCCCACTCAGCTGTGAGAGGCAGCACTGAAGTTCCAGCACCTTGGTAGGTGCTGCTGAGAGTGTGGACAGAAAGCCTGGACATGCCCAGGAGGAGACAGAGGACACACGGCATCCCTCCTGCCTCCAATGCTGCCACAGAAACAGCAGAGCCCATCCTTCCCAACAGCCACAGCCCAAAATTTCCACCTCCACTCCATCGCCTGAATACTTGGGAAACTTTGGGCCAAGCTCAGGCACGCACAGAGCTGAGGGGGCTGGAAATTGCTACGAGTCCCTGTGCTGTATTCCTTGTGGGGGAGAGCTGCAAATATTCCTGTCCCATGCAGCACTGCTGGCTACGGTGTGCAATGCACCGTTCTCCTTCCCAAACACCACGG